AAAGAAATCCCAAACAATACTCGAATGTATATTGCATGCTATTAAATGCAAAAATATAAAAAAGCGCATGAAATTGTCACATCAGCAACCTATGGACATCCACTGACCTTGACATACCAATGCAAAATTCTCTACTACACTGTTTTCAAGTACCCAGACCAATCTTTTAAACACCTATTTAATGGGCTTCTACCCCCCCATGCTCAGACAACGTATAACACCAAGTTTCAAAATTGTAATTGTGGAGGAAAGAGGGAAAGGCATGTTCAAAGGCACAAGGAAATATCTAGCTTCAAAAAAAACAACCAACCCAGAAAGTTAATTCCCTCACCATTTTTATTTTTAAAGACTCTCCAAAGCTCCTGATTGCTTACAAATAGAACGTCAAAAGCTACATCATGGATCTAGACTCTAATTCATGGGATATATTAAAACACGAGACGCACATCAATGCTGCAGGATTTTCCTTCAGTGCAAAGAGGCACAAAGATGGAAAAGAAGATGCACCAGGATGGAAGGGATCGGTTTTCCCAGTACCTGCCATGCAGAAGTGCCAGGAAAGCTCCTGTTCTACCAACCACAAAATGGCAGAGCCAGAGGGTCCTGGGAACTCAACCTTTCCCTGAGAGCAGCTGAGCCCACTCCAGGTGGAGCACATCCCGATAGGCAGGTGAAGCCAGCAAAAACAAGGGACCACAGCAAGGAGCTGGGACTCCACCATTCAAGATAGGGACGGGAAACTGCCAAGTGGAGCAGGAAGCAGAAACCATGTCCTTGGCGGAAGGAAAGCATGTTCTGGAGAACAGCATGCAGGACTGTGATGGCAGCTGAGCTCAGAAAACACCGAAATAAGCTGTCCAGAGAATCAGTGGAGTGTCCCTCACTGGAAACATTCAGGACTCGACAGAGCCCTGGATGACCTGATCTAAGGCCCTGTTTCAAGAGAAGACTGGGCCAGGTAAGGTCCCATCCAACCTGGATGATACTGCCACTATGCCTGTCATTTCAAAGACTAGACTAGAGACTCCCAAGATCTGCAGTCCCAGTACAGCAACGTTCTCAAGTGCCTGTGCATCTTCAACCATGTTCTTTCTTCCCAAGTAATATTGGCAGATTTCAAATCAAACATATGCTTTGGAGTTTTTCTAGTTTGGGAGTCAAACAGATAATTGTTCTGTTCGAACAGTGTCTGTATTCTTCCGAGCCTTCATCCATTAGCACAACTTCTATTCTCCTCTCTACGTCAGCTTCAGTTAATACTTGCAAAGCAACTGCAGACTCTTAAAAGATAGTCACAGAATAGCAAACAGCAACTAGCGCTTTTTTGACAATTTTCATCCTGTCATAGTCAGCACACAAAGAATTCTATTTTTCTTCAAATTACACGATTTTACATGAATGCTTGCAGTAAGTCCCCCATCCAACAAATAATATACAAATATTTTGTTGATAAGCAGAGCGACCGTTTACAACCACATTCCATCTAAAATTCTGAATTTGGTGATTGTGTTACTGTAACTTAGAGAGAAGGCAGAGGAAACTTTACAAAAGAGTGATATGAGCGATACGTAAGATACAGAGATGGATTTATTTAAACAGAACACCTGCATGAATATTTCATTTCATTGCTTAAGGGATTTTTTTTTTTTTGTTGCTGTTGTTTTTTCTTAAGAGAAAAAACAGACTACATCACAAGCTGCCACCCCTCCTCTCCTGCCCAGGGCATGAGGCTGTCTGTTTCTCTGCTGTACAGCAACAAATTTACTCATTGCGACACTGTATGTGTTCCATCAGCACTTTTTTTACCTCTGGGTTTACCTGAAATAGTACCATACTATGAAGTAAAAGTACATATTTGGAAAATTTTACTCTTCTTCCTGGATGGAGCTTTGGAGACAGATGGATATGGAGAGGAGTTTGGAACAGCAAGAATACCTGGGAACCATGGTAAGAATAAATATGAACTGAAAAGCAAACACCACTAAATTGGGTGCTCCAACAGAAAGCAGAAAAACTTGGGAGAAAGAAGCAGAAGAGGTCTGATGGGTCGAGCCTTCTAACCAAGCCTTGCTTTCTCAAACACTAGCTGGACCCTCATCGATTCTTAGACGCATACCCAGTGGCACAAGAAGTTATTTGTACCCTGCCTGATTTATTAATTTATTACTTTATTAGATGTCCCATGAAGACTGAAAATCAGTCTTTCAGGAATCTCACTTTGCAGAAGGATTATAACTTTGCCATTTTCGCAGCATAACTCTTTGCAATAAGTACTTTATTTTAGCAATCCTTCCACAAAATTACATTCCAGAAATAATACATTAAAACCAGGTATTCAGACACTATTTTGAAGTCCTGAATGAAATTCAACTGTAAAAAAAGTCCAAAGAACAAAAAACTTTTCTGCTGTTATTTGAGTCTTCAAGACAAATAATCAGAAACAAATTATATAAAAGCTTTCTTACAAATGTATTCTATATTTCATTATCAAGTCAGTCTTCCTATTCCTAAAGTGTATTACAGCCTACAGTTCACTTTTAAGATTTAATCGTTACATCTATATAAACAACACACCATGACTAGCAATAGTATTAAATTTGCGTGTTAAAGACTAATTTTACCGTGTAAAAACCAGAAACACACTTTCAGTTAAACAATAGTAAAACCAGTATAAATTATATTGAGAATTTAATCCAAAGAACCTTTAGTAAGCAGTTCACCACAAGACTGTGAATTTTGTTTCCATTCCACTCTTTGCTCCCTCTTTCATTCCTTGTCAAAAGCAGAGAACTCAAGCCACACAGAATTAAACCGGATTTACTTTTAGATGCTGACAGCTCAAAGTCAACGGAACAGTGTACGAATTTCTACAGAGAGACTGCTTCCATATACGGTAGGGAGATTCACAGTACTTCGCAATTATGAAAAGCATCAGGATTATCACGACAATAAGTTTTCTAGGTTTTTTTTTTTAAATTGCTGAAGCAGAAGTTACTTTTAAACATTTATCTGAATAACACATAGGTCATTTTACAGTCTTACGTTTAAATGATTAAATACATATCTTTCTAGCTCTCAAAAAATTCACAGTATCTGATTTTATAAAAAAAAAAAATCTTGTTCAGTTTAATAAGATGTATTGAAGATGCTTCCAGTATCACTCTAAAATCTTATTTTAATTCCGTAGAAGCTGATAGCTTCAATATTCAAATCAACAACAGGAGAAGCTAGTTCTATGAAATCCAAGTATTTTTAAGTTATTCCTCAGGCTTTTCTGAGCTAAGTTCCTAAAAGTATTCTGTTTTACAGAACATAATCTAGATTTCCTTAGAGATAAGTGCAAATTCTACCAAACATAATAACATTAGATCATACTGAAAACAACATTTGGTTTTAATACCCAAATTTTCATCTGTCTTCACTACAAACCTGTCCTGAGGACCATGGGGAAGATCTTCACGGGAAATAAGCAAATCACAGATTCACCAGCATCAGGCTAAATAATCACGATCGCTATTTTTTAAAAATCTGCTCCTAGTCTTTTCAGTTTGTCATTTTTAAATAGTCATAAGTTTATGCATTTGGTAGTAGCTGATTTAGTCCATGTGCAACCTGGTGATCAGACACACAGGGATAAACAAACTGCATCATGACCCTCACAGTTAGAGCATGCTGTGGTTAACTCCATCCCAGCCTGGCCCAGCACACATGCAAAGCCATGCTCACCAGGAACACGATTATGCAAAGTGAACTTTAAGAGAAAAAATAAAAAAAAAAGAAGAAACAAAAAACATTGAGTAGAAAGTTGTTTTTCAAGTGTCAAGAAAAAAGGAGCACCAGTATTACATTACAGGAAATGGGCTCACAGGCAACTGAACAAAGGCCACTAGAATTAAGATGGAAAACGAAGACCTGGAATAAGCTTATCTCAAACAAGACCAGAGACTTATTTTCTTGAAGATGTTATTATGAGAAAATCATGAAGGGGAAAGTGATCTGTATTTCCCTTCCACACATCCCAGCCTCACACTGAAAACATTGTAAATCAGAGCAATTTGAAGAAAATCATCTCTTTCGCCCACCCAAATTACAAACTATAAATGCAATTTCCAGAGTTGGATAGAGTTGCATTTAGGCCAGAAAGATCAAGCCAGAAAAAATCTCTAAACTCTCAATTTTAAGTAATAAAACTATAGAAACAAACAACTGTGATTGTTTATGACAAATAAAATTGAAAAGGTTATTGTGGATAATTTCCAATATATCCACGTGGTACTAAAGATTAATACTTGAAAAAACTCCCATTGAAGCTCCTCAAAAACTCAATGTTACAAGAAGAGTAATAGAAATCTTTTTTTTGTATTAAATCAATCCTTAAGTACTCAACACAAGAGACAAGAATACAAATTTTGAACACAATATCCTTCCCTCATCCAGATATAAAACACCGTAGTCAAAGCAAAACTTAATGGTACTTAATCTTCAGAGAATTGACAGAGACTGAGATTCAAAGCTGATTTAAAAAACCCCAAACGCAAAACCTCAACAAAACAAAATCCCCCCCAAAACCCCACAACAAGAAAACTCAACCCAACCGGAAGCTTCTAGTGTTCAATTCCAAACTGTATATATTTAAGGAAATTACACGGTAAAAACAATTTTTGATAACTTGATCTCATGTAAAGCCTTACTTTTTAATTATATTTCTAATCATCTGTATTATATTTGATTTTGAAACAATTATTCAAAGAAGCAGTCATTTTCTTGGCTTGCAAAACAGCAGGTGTTGCATGTAAGTTACAGAAAACTACCACTAATTCCCAAGTGCAGCTAAATGCCACACTTCTTCAGTAATGTACAGAATTAAATAGACTGGAGATGTTACGATCACATCATCTCAAGAAATCAGGTTACATTCATATTACACATCAAGGAGGGAAAAAATAAATCAACATATTTCTAGCAGATCAAACCATGACACAGGTGACAAAAGGACTCACCTGTTCAATCTCCTTCGTCTTAGTTGCAATTGCTTTTGAGCGGCCAAGCAGCTGACCATCCTCATATAATTCTGTACTATCCATTATATTTGTTTCTGTTTCCTCTGTTTGTTCGATGTATAATGGAGCTGAAGATCCAGCCTAATAAAAAAAAAATAATAATTCAGAGTTTTCAGAGCAAAATAAAAACTTTAAAGTGTGAGAGCAAAAGTAAAAACCCAAATACAGTCATTAACTTAGACATGACTTTGCTCATTGAGACTATTAGTGAAGTATTCTTGCTACAATCTAACTGATACAGAAATACAGATTTTAAACATGTAGAAAACGTGACACTATAAAAAAAACCAAACTATGACTCAGTCTTTACTGTGTAAAGACAATGATGTCAGATAACCTTTACCTACCCTTCTGCTGAGAAGGAACTTGTATACGTGATATTTATAACACCAGCTAGCAAGAAATCCACAATGAAAGCAGGATTTGCTTTCTGGAGAAGGATAAAAGTAACAAAATCAAAGGTAAAGTTGCAATGACAAAATCAAAATGCTGTCAGAAAGAACTCTTGCAGCATTCAGGGCCACAGGTTAAACATTAAAGAAACAGAGATACGTACTGTATAGCAAAAGCAAGCATGTGCTTAGATGATTCCTGATAATATGAGAAATCTTACTGAAGTACTGGAATTGTATAAGCTTCTCTCTAAAACAGAGATTAAGACAGTATCCCTGCCCTAAAGAAAACAGACTCCCACTCCAAGGATTCCATATAGATGATGCAAAAAGAGAAGAAATTACTACAGCATATTTATATGCAATATTATGGAACAGATTTATAGAATAGTTAATTTTGGGGAGCGGAATAAGATTTGAGAATTGAGGAATATGCATAAACGTTTTTTCTACTATTCAAAAATAAAAAGGTGGAGAATCTTCAGACTTAACTAATGCGAAAGAGAAAAGCATTAGACAAAAAAAGAAAGCTTAAGTGGTCCTATGAGCACTAGAGCAATAGAAACCATTAAGATTGCATCCCAAATTTGCAGTAAATCATGAAATGCCCAAGATGGAGTAAAGGCTGCTGAAAAGTTCAGTGCAACACAAAGTTCAACTTTTAAGTACTATGTAAGATAAACTGGAAAAAGTTAAAAACTGTCACAATTCATACATGCCAGGCAACTAAATCAGGGCGAGAAGGATCCTTTCTTCCAGGACTCAAAATAAGATGCCTCGCCTCCTTCATTAGCATTCCTGTAGCACACTTCCTTAGGCAATAAATCACCTCACACTGCCATAATCAACTGCAATTGTTTCATTTTGAATCTTTATTTTGAATCTTTTTGCCACTGCAATTTTCTGTGAGGTAGAGAGGAAGCTGTAAACAACACTTCTCCATATGGCCAACTCTGTTCTTTCCTCCCTTGCAATATCTTCTCCTCAACGAGAACAGGAGTGACATTTCTCTTCACTGTTACTCTCCTGAACCCCTCAGAAATGTCCATGCATGTGTTCTCCTCCATACAGCATTCATATTTGGATCAGTTTGCTGCTTCTTTTTCCTCACTCCAACTCCTCCCCCCATTTTTTTGTTTGTTTGTTTCTTTTTCCTGGAGGGAAATAAGCAGTTTATTTATCCAACTGGATCTTCCTGTCCGGTATCAAGAAACTGTTGATGCACTCAACCCTTACATCAACGGACAGGACTTAAAAGTTCAGATAAATATGGATCCAGTGAGTTCATTTCTCTAATCTAGCCCTTAGGTTCCACAAGCGTGAAATACAAGGAGGAAGTCTGATGCTTCCCAAGATGCTTTTATTTTCCCCAAAATTATTTACAAACAAATATAAAATACAAAGTCAATTATAAAGTTTAAGATGTGACTTTGTAAAGTAGGTACTATTTTGTTGTTGTAAGAGTGCCTCTGAAGTAGAACAAAGTGAAAGCTGAAGAAGAAATGATCAGAGAATTAAACCAGACTATTTTACAAAAAGACATTACGGGACATTTGGTTTGTTTTAAATGACAAATACATCTTCCACCAACATAGCAGAAGCCAGAAAAGACATCCTATCCAAAAGCAGCATAACAAAACAAAGACTGAAAAGGGCTATAATCACACTTCAATATAGCAAGCGGTAGAAGACACGGAGGGGCAGGAACAAATGGGTATAAACTGGCAATTAAATAACAACAATTAATGAAATAAAGGTTCTGGGGAAAAAGGTATCTACCTACTGCAGTACCAAAGCAAAAGTTTAATTTTTAGTATAGAGGAAAACTGCTTTCTGAAATGCAATACATGACGTGGCAGGCTGCCGTGGCATGGAACTGCACTCAATAAACCAGAGTTTCTTTTCTAGTCTTATGTTTTACATGTACACTTGTATTTTGACTCAGAAGTC